GGCTCCCTGCGTGCGGCGGGGTGTGTGAGCCCCGGCGTGCGGAGCCTTCGCTCGTGTGCTTCGGTACGCGTGGGCACACGCGTGTGCGAGGAAGCGAGCCGAGGAGGGCGGGGAAAGAAAGCCCAAAGGTAGCCCTCGGTCTCCCTCCTCCTTTCCCGCGCCGACGCGACGTGGGGTGTCCCGCTAGGCAGGCAGGCAGGGCGGCTTTCCGTGCAGAGCCCTCCCCGGTGCCGGGCACCCTCCGGGGCATCCCTGGAGGGTGCCTCGTCGCTCCGGTGAGCCGCATCGCGAGTTGGGAGCTTGCAAACCCGAAGCTGGCGCGATAGCTAACGATGTGCTTTCTTGAGCCTGAGGTACCGATGCTATGAGGAAAAAAAAGAGGTGTACCTCAAAGCAGGCACCTGCAACTACATAGGTTACTTTTCTTATGGTTTTTGTTCTCATGGCTAATTTTTAACTTGTTCTTCTTCTGGTTTCAGAGTAGAAATACTTGTTGAAATTAAACCACTTAATTCTGAGAGTGCCATCAGAACTGGGATGTTGGTGTGCTCACTGCCAAGAAGTGAGCGGTTGCAGGTGGAGTGCCAACAGTGGCGCTTCATTCTTAAAAATGTGAAATGCTGTGCATTTTTTTCTTGTGACTCTTATCCCATATCCATGCCTGTTCATGCTGAACGCACCGAACGTGACAGCTTGTGCAGAAGTTATTCAGAGGAACATGTTTCCCACCAATTTGAGGGAAAGTGTGCATTAAGTTGAATGCAGCTAGCTGTGCAGAACCGCAGCTCTGAAAAGCTGCGGTTTTATCCCTGATGATAGTGCTAAGTTATCTGAAAATTCTGAGAAAACTAAAGCACGTGCCTGTTCATGCTGAACGCACTGAACGTGACAGCTTGTGCAGAAGTTATTCAGAGGAACATGTTTCCCACCAATTTGAGGGAAAGTGTGCATTAAGTTGAATGCAGCTAGCTGTGCAGAACCGCAGCTCTGAAAAGCTGCGGTTTTATCCCTGATGATAGTGCTAAGTTATCTGAAAATTCTGAGAAAACTAAAGCACAATAGCAAAAATTGAAAGAAATGGAAAGGTAATGGTAAAAAAGAGAAAAAAAAAAAAAAGCTGGTGGTAGCTGTGCTACCTGTGGCTAGGAAATGATGACCTCTTTAGTAGATGTTGCAGGACTGAGGGGGTTGGAAACTAGCCATTGCTTGATGTACCTCTTTGTTGTAGAGAGGAAATCATGGTTATGCTGAAGATTTCATCTTTCCTTGCTGTTTATGCCTTGGTTGTGTGCCAGATGGATAGCTTCCAGGCAGCCCCAGTCAGGTAAGCAGCCGGCCCTGTTGCCGAGTCCCGTATCTGAATGGTACAAAATGACTCAAGATTTCTTTAGCGATCTAGGAGGCAAATAGCCTACAGTGAATGAGAAAGCTGCCTTCTTTCGATGCTGTTTTCAGCACTATGGCTCTTTAAATTACACTTACAAGATGCCTAATGCTGTGCATTAGGGTGGCTTACACATTCACAGTGGTGAAAGGCACAGTCGGTGCCATGCAGTAATGCATGACAGACCCCTCTCCTGCGCGTGGCGCTCTGCAGCTGTCTGGGTTTTATTCAGCCTGTTTTGCTTGCCTCTGCTTAGACCTGGCTTGGAGTCCATAACAGACCGAATGATGCTCAGTGATTATGAAGCTCGGAGGCTATTAAATGCCCTGGTGAAAGAGTTCATACAGATGACGGCAGAAGAGCTGGAGCAAGCCTCTGAGGGGAACAGGTAAGGACTGCAGTCCTGGGGCAGGAGAACGGCAGTGGGGGAGTGTTATGTGCTTGATATTTAGCAAAAGCCATCTGAGCAGACCCTCTGCAGGTCAAGATTATTTTTTCTTCTTTTCTTGGTGTTCTGGCTAACTGTGATTACCTAACTGGTAAAGGATGAAACTACAGAGGCATCCTAATGTTAGTATTGGGAGAATGGCTTCCACCTAGTTAACCTGCTTCTGTCTGTCTTTTACAATTGAAAGTAGAGGGCGATTTGAGCTTGAATGAGGGGGTTGTGTTAAAATATGGCAGCAAAAGGTATGTCTTCCTAGCGGGAGTGTCGGGGGCCGTTCAGTCACTCTTGGATTCTCTGTCGTGAAAGTGCATGCTGTTGTAAGGCATGGAAAGCCCCTGGCAGAGGGGGACGTGTTCCTCCTAATGCACGCAGCGCCACTCTCCCCCATAGACCAAAGGCATGCGATAGCATTTGCGTTACCCCAACAGGATTTGTATTGCAAGGCATGGTGGTGATGTACGAGAGACTGAACAGCATGCTGAATACGCGGGAAGTAAAACTTCCCGACCCCTAACTATAAGCATCCAAGCGGCTAATGAACTTGCTTTTTCAACAAAGACTAATTCATTGAAAAACAGTGGTTGCCTTCTGACTGCATTTGTATGAACCTTCCTTGCATGGAATGTGATGTGGAGGTGTTATTTTTTTCATTATTTTTTTAAGTTTCCTAGCTGTAGATACTTATCTAGGGAGGAAATGCATGAACATGCATGTTTGAGATTACTCTTCCTTTGGGCATGTTTTGTTTTTTTTCCTCCCTGCAGCCTGGATAGACCTATTTCCAAACGCTGTGCCAGTCTGAGTACTTGTGTGCTGGGCAAACTGTCTCAAGAATTGCACAAATTGCAAACTTACCCTCGCACTGACGTCGGGGCTGGAACTCCTGGCAAGAAACGAAATGTGCTGAGTGACCTGGAACATGAACGCTATGCAAACTATGGGGAACCCCTAGGAAACAACTAGACATGCTTATTTCTCCCCTTCTCCCTTTTTTTAACCTGATGCATGTGGATCTAACTTTGATTGCTAACTTTGCTATGTTACTTTGATTCTGTTTTCGACAGAGAATGTTTGAGATGGACCTAATGTTAGGAAGACAGAGAACATAACATGCATACCAAGCTGGGGAAAAAATAAATAAATAAAAATTAACAGCACTGCCTTGAGATTTCAAATGATTTTCTTAGACACTAATTAAATTCTAAAATAGCCTCTTCATTCCTGGCTGCTAAATGTACAAGTAGACTCTTCTTTTGTGCCTGCCCATGCACTTATTCAATAAACCTATTTTTCTATAAGGATTAGACCTGCTTGGTTTAATAACTTGGTTTAGAATGTGAGATTTCTAGATACAGTGAGAAGTATTTTACAAACTGTCTTAATGTTCAAAAGAGGCAATGCCAGTGATTCTAGAAAAGCTGAGAGATAACTTAGAGATTGACCTTATACACATATGTTCACCTGTACTGATGTAATCAGGCATGCATGCAGTTCTGTTAGTAAGGATCCTGAGAAGCAAAGGAATCGGGAAAGGCTCATGCAGATTTGATTAAATAGAAATGTAATCCTGTTTAAAACTGGGTACTGAACACTTCCAGGTAAGAATTTTGTGTTCTTTTCCTCTTTTCTTCTTACTTTACAATAGGTCTTTACACTAGTATATTCAAAACTCTGGTATCTTTAAAATATTTGTATTAATTCAAGACAATATAAAGTAGGTGAATTGTAAATTAAGAGGCGAAACTGGATTTCTTTATAGTTCTGCTGCATTGATCTTGTAATCAGAGGCCTGTTCCAAAAAATTGGCATTGATGTTTTGAACAGTATTTGTTGTCAAGATTAATGAACTGTCTTGTAATGCTTAGCTGAGAAAAATTGCTCCTACTGCAAGGAAGTCGTTGCTTTAGCAGAGAACTGCTTTGAGCAAGGACTGTGCAAATGTGTATGCCTTGAACTCCTCTGTCTAGCAAGCAAAATTTACCTGTAGGCTGAACTCTGAGCACAGAACTACTTCTGTTGGAAGTTGAAGTGCTGTACTAGACAGGGGTTGAGCTCTGGGAAAGAGGGGTTCCCTCATTCCCATTCAATACATGGGAGCAGTATGGTTTTGTGAGGTTCATGTCTGAAAGCAATCGGTCAGCTGCTGTGCAGGTACAGCCCTGCCAGAGCCACTGGCAAAGCTCCTGTAGTCATTGGCGATGCTAGGATTTTAAGTGTTTTCTGGGTATTATGGAGCATAGGTGCTGGTGTGAGAAGTTTAAGATCAGTGTCTGCTACTGTCCTCCAGCAGCACTGCAAGTAAAATGCAGGTCTAAGCTTTTGGAGGAAGTGGGGGTGGGTTAAATGCTCCAGACCCAGGCCTCCTCAGCACCTCTCTGTTGGCCATAATGACTTGCTGGAGGCAGGCAATGGCTCAGGTGTTGCTGAAAATCTGGCTTGGCTTAGTTTTCAGTCCAATTGCCTGAGAAAGGAAGGGCTCAGCCACCTTTTGTAAACTGAGCCTGACACTTAGAAAAACAAAGATGCATCTTTTAGAGCTTGTAAGCTGTGCACAGGGAAGTTGTGAATGCCTGCTGCGCAGCAAGCCTGCTCTTTCTTCTATAGAAGGATCTTTCCTAGGTGTAGCATCCCTTACTGCCATTTCATTGTATGCAGGGTAGGTGCTTTGGGAACTAATGCTTTCTTTCCTTTTGAAAAGCAGTGTAACAGCACAGAAGAGGGCATGCAACACAGCAACCTGTGTGACCCATCGTCTGGCGGACTTCCTGAGCAGGTCGGGAGGAGTGGGCAAGAACAACTTCGTACCAACCAACGTGGGATCCAAGGCCTTCGGCAGGCGAAGAAGAAGCGTTCAAATATAAAAAGCTGAATGATAATGTGAATACGGTAAATACAATAAACAGAATCTGCAATGCAGGCAACCTGTGGCATTATGAGAATTTTAGTTTGCTGGATGAGTAGCAGAACTGCAGCAATAATATCTGAGAAAGCAGGGCAAGTAACAGTGTATAAAAAAACATGTTACAAATATAACTAGCATGTTTAGACTGTGAAGAAGAGCTTTTGTAGATGTTCTGCTTAGATAACTAGCTTCACAGTGCATTAGCTAAATGCAACACTTTTGTTGGAGTTAATTGCTTGTTTTACCAGTAACAATTATCAACATATCAGTAACTGTGGTTTTCTTTCTTCCAGGTTGCCATGAAACTGAAAGTTCAACTTTAATTTCTAAAGAAAGCGACTCTTCTCCATAGATCAAGACAGCCAAAAAGAAGATTAATTTTGCATCCTAATATTGAAAATGTTTTATTTAATACAAATGAAAACAATTCTGTTATGTATAGTACAAGAGAATCTAGTTATTAAAGTTAAATTATTGTATATTCTTTTTATATGCAACTCTATTTCAAATAAAATGTGACGGCATCTATTATTTATTTATCTTCCAGCTTATGTGATCCATGCTACTTATCCTGGCACTCTTGCCAAAACTCGGGGATTATGCTAAACTGCTGCCTGGCAAGGCATATGTGTATTATATGGTGTGCTGTGCCTTGATGTAAAACACTTAACTAACCTGATTGTACAGTATGTTTAAAAAAACCAAACAAACAACACTTCAATATTGTATCATTTGTGAATTTACGCAAAATTAAAAAAAGTATTTTAGATACACTTGGATGGAGAAACTGATTTTTCATTTGAATGCACTTATGGAAACACTTGGCGCTAAGCCACCATCACTGCGGCTGAGATGGCCCATTGATCTGCTGCGGCCTTATTAACTATAGCTTCTAGTGCCTGAGTCAAAAGTTCAGAACGGAAAGAAGAGCTGCCTCTTAAATATGTTCATAAAGACCCACCCCCAAAAAGACACCACTTAGTGAGATTTCTGCTAGAAAAATTAAAAGAAGCAAGAGTTACTTTTAATAAAACCATAGAGACCGACTTTATCATGGGTGGTTTAAGACTAAATGTTTTTATGCAGGATGTAGTTCAGATGAAATGGCCTGACATACTTTGTGGATTTTTTTTTTTTTGTCTAAGGTCAAAAAAGTGAATTGGAAGAGAATAGAAAAAGGAGCTGTGGAAATGTACATTTCTTTTAAGCAATCCTGAGACAGAGTCTATTTAGGGCTCAGGGATAAATAATTAGTGTGAGTGGAGAAGAGGGTAGCTGGAAGCAATCCATGGACTTCTAAGTGGTGCTGCCAACTTCCTCCTCAAAGCTGCTGCTGTTTCAGTTTAGTAGCTGAGTCAGATATTTGTTTAGATTTGTTCTGTGCTCCACAGCCGTACTCTAAAATCTGCTTCATCAGTTCAGGTGAAGATCACCTCGCCATGCAAAGTAGAGGTTAAGGCTCTGACAATATCTCTGTCTGTCTCTGCTGCAGGTGTAATAGCAAAAAGAGAAGCACGGTCAACCAGATGTAGACACAGCCAGTAAGGCCGTCCGGTGATGACACTTCTGTACCACGCTCATTCGTGGCTATGGTTTCACTCCTTGGGGAACAGTTCAGCCCTGGTAAGTCATGTACAAAGCAGATCTTGGAGAAGATATAAACCGGTTTAGAGGGAAAAGCTCCAGTGCCTAAATGGGCAAAGCGGGGATGTTCAGACTTGGCTTGCAAATCTGTTGCCCAGAAATAGGCTAGTGCTTTTTTCCATTTTCCTCTGAAGTATCTGAGATTGGCCGCAAGTGGGTGTGCTATGCCCACGTGGGTGAACCGCTGCCCTGTGTTCGCATGAGGATCTGGTTGGGTTAGACCCAACTGCTGATTCTAGAGCCTGGAAACATTCTTTGCCAGGTTTTGTGTATTTTCCCTCATTTTCCTTTGCACAAAGTGGGCGTCACATGCCCACATCACCTGGCTGCCTCAGTGATGCCTTTCCCTGTCATTGCTGAGCCTCTGGGCATGGGTGGCAGGTTGCCTCTTTTGCTCCCTACTACAGCACCCAACAGCTTAATCTTCTTCAAGGTAAAATGCCTAAGCACAGTTATTGGGATGAATACACGTAGTTTAATGATTCATATTCAATAAGAAGCCAGGGAATGTTCATGGAGCCCTTCTGGCTTTAAAGTCTAAATGCTCAGGCAGTTTATTTTTTCCATTTACAGCCATTCTCTGCTGAGAGACACCTGAGGCTGTGTCACCTTAATTGTATGGCAGCCCAAGTGTCCGTCTTTTCTAAAAACTATTAGTCTGTCTTTTCAGTGTAACAAGGCCATGCCTTTTCTCGTCAGCCAAAGGGACTTCCTCAGACTAATAGTCTACACCAAATCACAAACCTAACATGCAAAACAGATTCTAGTAACCTTGGTGCTGGATTTTACATTGTCCTGGATGGAGGAAGGTCAGATGAAACTTTTGATACACATTTTTTGTTTTGTTTGTTGGGTTTCTTTTTCTCCCTTAGGAAGAAATATGTACCTTCATATCTCAAGATCTCTTCCTGTTGTATCTTCTGCCTCTTTTCTCATTAAGAGCTCTCTCTGCACAGCAATGCAATACGCTCACCAAATAAATATGCCTGTAAAGAACAGAGGGCCATAGCACTATGAAAGCAAGGGCAAATAAGAAAAAAGGTGAGGACCCTTACATCCTTTTCCATGAGTGTGAAGAGATAGAAACCTTTCACCACAAAACTGAATTGCTCAGAGCTTTAGGAGAAGCAGATTATTATTGAAACAAGACAAAACTAGAGGTGTAAACACTAATATTTTAATTTTTTAAAATTTTAAGTCAGTGACCATGGTAGAAGGAATTGCAGAGCCACTAGAAGCTTGTCAATTGCTTTGACTGACTGTGAACAAGTGGAAGAAATTGCTTCCATTTTTTAAAAGTGCTGTTCTTGATAATATTATGCAAACTTGTCAGCTCTTAAATAAACCCCAAACTTCTACCCCAGGAGAAAATCTATTTTGGAATTAGCATTTAATAAGGGAAAGTATGGTTTCTAATGTACTTATCTTTCCATTTTAATTACATTGCCTTTCTAAGCATGCTGAAAGCTGATGGAAAATATGATGTGTGAGTGGCATCAAACCTGAGTTACTTAGTATTCAGTCAGCCAAGACACTACAGATCAGTCATGCACGAGGGTTTGTATTTTTGTTTACGAGGCAGTATCATCATGGCTACAGTTTGGTTCTGCTGCTTTTAGATGTTTGTCAGTGTGTGTTTTCTTTAACAATCAGGGTGGATTTTTTTAAGCTGTGTGCAAATAAAGGCTTTGGGAGTGTACTTTGCAAGTAAAGGCAAAAGGGGAAGATATTTCTGAGAAAGAAATATCTGAGGGTAATTTATTGTAGACTGTCTTCATGTCATTACAGAGTTTTGGGGCTTTGATTTTGCAGATTATTTTCTAGTGGTTTGGTTTTCCAGTACAAATATAGACACGAGCACCATGTGGGCCCAGGAAAAGTTATGAATTTTGCCCAATCCTCTGCTCTGAGCTGATGGGAAGTAAAAAAGCACCATCTTGTGGCCAGTGAATAAGCACAGTGAGAGCACACAGGGATCCCTCTCAGGTGAGTTATTTACCCACCTGCTCCTGCTTTTGTCCTGCTGGTGGGTGCAGCTTCCAGCTGGACACGGTGTGGGTGAGCAGGGGCAGCCACTTGGGCTGATGCCATGTGGCAAACTCACCTGCTCGTCTGCTTGAGTGGGCTGTGGGGAGGGGACATGCAGTGGCTGTTGTGGGCCACCCTGCAGGGCCGTGACACCACATGTGGTGTCAGCAGGTGCGGGCCAGCTGGTGTAGTACCGGGTGATGGAGAACAGAGGAGCTAATACCGACATATGTCCCCATGGACCTTTGCAGCTGCCAAACCAGAGATGCAGGAGCTGCTCAGCTATGTGCTTTTTGCCAAAGGGCAGATGTTCTCCTGCTCCTGGATCCCACTGAGTTTTAGGTTCATGTACCAGGACATTACTGCATGTATTGATAGAGCATAATTTTGAAAGAACCTAAGCAGACTTTCCCTGTGGCTCTCTCCAGATATTTAGATCCCTTTTTTCTCCTTCTGTTAGTGAGAAATTTAATTCATCTTCCTGAAAGCTTCCATCATCTGCAGCGTGAGAAAGGAGCAGAGCTAATGCTATTGCTTCTGACACTGAACACTGCCAAAAGCAACTTATAGCCGGCAGTAGTAAATTTTGGTATTGGTTATCTAATCCAGCATTGTCATGTCTAATTAGCAGATTGAACACCTCTACAAGGTGAAGAGTTTAAAACATGCTGGAGAATTTGGGTCTGTGCATTTTTCTAGACTGAACTATCTCAGAACAGGTGAATACCTGTTAGAAATGAACTGGGCATTTCAAGCCTGATTTTCACCCACGCTGAATGCTGGCAACTTTCTTCCCAGCTGGTCACACTTGCTGCTTCTGACAGTCAGGTGAACACTGCCCTGGCCACTGGAAAGGCTCCACGTGGTGCATACATTTGCTGCCTCTTCACTGTTCTAAAAGGCACCACATCCTTCCCCTGTTCTGCACAGAGTTGTCCTCTACTTTGGGTGCTCCTTACGCCTTTTAAAGTTGTTCTCTTTCGCAGAAAATGTCTAAGGAGTATGATACCTTTTTGTTTTCAGAAAGCAAATAATTCCCATTTATAATTTATGCCAAACATTTAGCCTGAAGAAGAGAAGACTGAGAGGGGATCTCATCAACATGTACAAATATCTCAAGGGTGGACGTCATGAGGACGGAGCCAGACTCTTCTCAGGGGTGTTCAGCAACAGGACAAGGGGCAATGAGCACAAACTGAAACATAAGATGTTTCAGTTGAAAATGCGGAAGAACTTCTTCACTTTGAGAGTGACAGAGCACAGGAATAGGCTGCCCAGGGGTGTTGTGGAGTCTCCTTCTCTGGAGATATTCAAAGCCCACCTGGATGATGTCCTGTGCAACCTGCTCTAGGTGGAACCTGCTTTAGCAGGAGGGTTGGACTAGATGATCTCCTGAGGTCCCTTCCAACCCCTGCCATTCTGTGATTCTGTGACTGCAATACTTTCTCTAGGAGATTTCTGATCTGTCCTTGGAGTAATAAGAATCATTGCAGCATTTCTGTGTTCTTGGCTTTATCACAATTCTTGTTCGCACCAATTACTCTCTTGGCTGGGCCTGAGGTGTGATCCCAGCTAACCAATCCCACAAAAGCAAATGCCTTTAAAAGTTGGAATGTGTACCTCTGGGCAGGCTCTTTCCCCCCCCAGTGTGTGAGGAAATATTTACAGATCCCACTTGGTTCTTCATTACAGTTATATTGGCTGTCCACAGAAGTTGATTACACTCTTGCTGGTTTGGCTTTTCTATTTACTTCTGTTGTGTCACATTTCTTCTTTTAAATGGCTTTTCCTAATAGCATCTTGTCACATTAGCACATGAGGCAATTTGACATTGCTTTAATCTATTCAGTATCCATGAACTACAGCATATATCATATACGCAAGAACTCTGCTTGATTTTCCAATTGCTCTTTGAGAGTCCGCAAGCCAGTCTTCTCCGAGGAGACTACATGGCAAGGAGTATGGTCACCTGCAGGTGACCGTCATGTATGGTGGAGACACAGGTACAGCAGTGTGGAGTAACCCCTACCAAGGTTGTCTTGGGTGACTGCTCCCAAGAGTGCCAGC